TATTAAGCAAATTTTTGCTAGTTTTAAAGTATATTTCTTATAGATTTCATTTCATTGGTGTAAACCGAATTTGGCTTTTCGATATAATTGTAATACTTGAAAAATATTTTTTCTGAGCAGATAATAAAAAAGTGAAAGATTTTATAGCTGGATTCTTGTGTAGCTGCTATACAGATGATATAAGAGTAAGAATAAATAGACAGTGACATTAACTTGCTTTTAATTTTTTAAAGTTTCACATAAATATCCTTTAAATACTTCATCCTATATACAATTAATTTTGACCTCAAACATAATTAATATCCTAACGTTAGATATTAATATTAGATCAGATATTAAAAATCTTCTCATTATAAAATGTATAATTCTATGTATAATTGGAAGTCCAGAGATTATTTTAACGTAATATAGTAAGTACGACACGTAGCTTTTTTTATCAAGTTTGTGCTTTAATGATGAAAAGTCACAACTTGTCTATGGTGATCCTGCTAAAGCCACAACATTGGTTTTAGACCTGTGAAGGATAATACAAAAAACTAGGCGCACGAAATTAATAGTCTATCTGACTGACATCATCAATTTGGTCATAACAAAATCTTCGGATCAACAAGGAAATACAAAAATTGACAAAAACCTGAAAAACGAAAAGAAGTGAATAATTACGAAAACGATATAAACTCTGTTAACAGATTTTAAACCTAAATAAAGAAAAAATAAATAAAAAATTACAATTTAAAATAGCAACATTTGAACTTTCAGGTAACTGCACTTAAGCATTTCAATATTAACTATAGTAAATGGTCTATATTCCTAAGTATTTCTATACTCCCAAATATTCATATATTCCTAAATATTCCTATAATCCTATGTCCTGAATGAATGTCCTGAATGTGAAAAGAAAATGTGATAAAATTTCTTTAAAAAAATCTATACCTAAATAAATTCCATTTTAAAAACTTAACAATATTCAGTAATTCATTGCCCTGAAATTTCTTTAATTATTAAAAAAAATAAATTAAACAAAATTTCCGTTTCGATTTTCTTCCTATAGGTCTCCGCATAATGATTCTTTCAGCTGCACTGAAACAAACTATTTATTTCAGCTTTGTTTATTAATTTCCAAAAACTGATTCATTAAATTTTTTGGGAGAAAACCGTAAAAAAATGTAAATAAAATAAACAAAAATAAAAGAGAAGAGCAAAATAAAAGTTGGTAATTTTGTTTATTTGTTATTTTTTTGTGTTTTTCTGAGAAATCATAAGGGAACTTCATAGAATACATCTGAGCAATATCTGAGTGGAGCAAATACAGCGAGCTCTTTTACTAGTAGTTGTGCTTCTTTGCTAGCGAGGCTACTCACATTTTACATAAGCACAAGTACAACCAGCAGCAGCAGCAGTCAAAAAGATAAACAAAACACGTAATAGATATTTCCCCCGAATAAAAACGCAAGAGAACCAAGAATTTATACGCGTATATTGCACCCGACACGAGCCTTAGCTGAAATTCCCGACGAACTCAATCAAACTCATTCAATTTTCTTTTTCGTAGCCCAGCCACCAACGGCACCCACTACAAAATAAACCGAAAAGAACACGAAAATTTCATTCATCCCCAAAAAACGCAGCAACAAAATTACTGAGTGTAACTGCAACAACAGAGCGCATAGTACACTCTAGCATAGACCGCTCGGTGGTGCAGGGATTTTAAAACCGTACACAAGCGCTAACTGTTATACGAGTAAACATTTGTAGGTGCAACACTTCGTGCAATTAGCACAGTTACGAATTGCTTAAGAACGCCGCAAAGCACAAACGATAAACAATAAATGGCATCCGCCCTAAATAGAAACATTTTGCAAGAGAGAGCCAAGAGCCAGAGAGCAAAACAGCAAAACAGCAAAAGAGCTTAATAGATTAGAGAGTTATGATGTTGTGAGAGTGAAAGACTGAAAGAGTGAAGAGTGAATGGTGCCAAGTAAACTTCTCCAGTATATGTTGGAAATACAACATTGCTTTATATTGCAAAAATTTTACATATCTATAAACAGCAGAGCATGTTAATGTGCAAGTATAGTAGAAAGTGCTTGCTATTGGAAGAGCGTCTACGAGAGAGCGAGAGAGAGAGAGATAGAGAGAGCGAGTGTTCGGATATGTCATTTGTGCTCTATTTTGGAGCTATTTTAGCAAAAATACATTTTCGCTTGTTTGGATGGCAAGGCTTTGACTTTTGTGCGGCGGACGTCCTTGTCGAGCGTGCGTCGTCGTGTGCGGTCGCGTTCACGATGTTTTAAAAGAAAATTACTAAAATAAATTAAGAAAAATGTAAATTGCTAAGAAAAATTGTTTAAACCATTTATAAAACTATTTTCAATACTAATTTGTGCAAAAGGTAGTTAAACTAACTGAAAAGAATAGAGTTCTATTCATCCAGTAAAACGGAAAAAAAACCAGCAAAATTTTTCGCCGAAGAGTTTTGGAAAATTTTTGCCTACACATGCGATAAATGTGTCTGTAAAGCAAATGCAGTGAAAAAAAAAAATATCATGTTTTATGATTTTAAATTTTATTAGAAATTTGCCTAAATTGAGTTCAGTGAAAATTAACATTATATATACATATATATACATATTAAAATTCCCTAGAATTTTACAATTAAATGAATAATTTTCCAGGAACATCGCCAACGTTTAAAGAAATTTTGTATATGTTTTTGACTTGTTCTATAGCACAACTTTTCTAAATTATCTTTATTATTTTGTGATGTAGTCGCCGAAAGTATGGGACAGGCGGAGAGGTATGTTGTTAAAGTAAGGGTATTGAAGACGGATATATTGTTTCCCATATAATCATTGTACATTGTCAGTTTATTATTATTGTTGTTATATTTTGTTTTATTCATATTATTTATGCCATTGTCATAATTATTTTTTTTTATAATTATTTTGTTATTCGCGAAATTCTTCTATGCAACTTTTCTTTTCTAAAAAATATACATTTCCCACTTTTTTTGCTTCTAATACTTCTTGCAGGTTGAGGGACTCGACAAGGCCAAAATTAATATATTTTTTTATTTTTATATTTATTGTGGAAAAATTTTGCGCATTTGAAATTCTTAGATAGCAGAATGTCGGAACGCTGTCCTAGTCAATATCAAAAACATTGCTGCTGAGGCATTAGGTCGTCGATTTAACATTGAAGGGGGTGAAAGAGAGAAACTTTCTCCACTTAGTTGATGTTGTTGTTGTTATTATTGTTTTTGTTGTTTAATACTTTTTCAAGCAGAAATAAATTTCTTATGAAATCAAAAACAAAAAAAAACCAAAATTGGGGAATAACACAAACCAAATAAAAGACAATTGTAAAAGGAAAATAGATAGAAGTAAAGAGAAAACAAACTGTAATACCAAAAAAATATTGAAAGTGCATATTAACCTTCAACATTCGCGTATCATGTAAAGAATTTTTGAAAATCCCTTATAGTTAAAGAATTAACTTTAATGCACTGTAAAAGAAAAAAATAATTACATATTATGTTGTTTATAATGAACTTGCAAATATTGCATATCAAACTTGATTTAATAAACTCATAAGAATGGCTTTTGCAAACTTTACTATCTAATATTGTTCACATTGAATAATATCTCATCTTACAAATTTCAATTACATTACAGATATTCACCTGAACTGATAAATACCGCATAAACTTTATAAACGTATAAATTTATCTACTTGGTACATGAAGTTTAAAATTTTGTATGAAAAAAAGTTTATACAAACTTGATAAATTTACACGAAAATTTTACCAAATAAATTTGTATCATATAAATTTATCTGTTGTCAATACAGATTTGCAATCCAACACAAGCAAGTCATTTATTAAAATATCTTTATAATACTTTTTAGTTCGAACTTTT